GCGTCCATCCATTCATCATCCATCCATCCATCCGTCTGGCCATCCATCCATCATCCATCCATCCATCCGTCTGGCCATCCATCCATCCATCATCCATCCATCCATCCATCTGGCCGTCGAACTATTTATCGTCTGTCCATCCATCCATCCGTCTGGGCGTCCATCCATCCATCATCCTTATGGCCATCGAACTATTTATCGTCCGTCCATCCATCCATCCATCCCTACAGGTTTAAAGTCAAACTGTCCTAAATTTCTCCCTGTGTAAATAATAAAACCTTCTTTGTTTGTAAATCGGTTCTGTCCAGAACCTCTGCTTGGATCTCTGATCTTTGATTTGAGTTTTGTTCTGTTTCAGACCTTTTTTATCACTTTTTTAAATGTAATGAAAATATTTGTTTTTACTTTGGATGGGCGTTTGATTTGTTGATCGGTTCATTTTTATCACCAGCTTCTCTTCTAGATGAATGAATCAATGAAACAGAAAATGAATCACCAGCTGCAGCCCCACCATTCTAGAACCGGTCCATTTGACCACAGCTTCTCCTGGTCAGGGTCGTTGGGTCTCTTCTGGCTCTATCCAGCCATGAATCAGATGAAACCAATGTGTCATAACTAGGCTCTGGGCTCCTCTTCCTGTCCATCTGCAGAGGAACCTCTGATGGATGTCAGAGGAACGTTTGGCGAAACACCTGATATCTTAAAGACAGGGAGGCAACACAGGAATGTCTGTTCTGGTTCTGATATGATTGGTTTCCCTGGTGCCTTCCCGGTCAGGACTGTGGAAGAGCTTCCTTTACTCCATACTTGCTCCTGATCAATATCCGTCCTTCCTGGAAGGTTGTCTTGGACAGAACTTGGTTCTATGCTGAACTTTCCGTTCCGACACCTTCTGTCTGTTTCCATAGAGATGGTCCGACCCGGTCCAACATCCTTCAGGGCCGACTCGGACCTTCTGAGTCTTCTTCCTTAAAGCCCGACCTATTAGCTGGAAGTCCTCGCTGATCCTGAACATGTTTTTTCCAGTTCAAATTAACATTTTAAGAAAATGTTTTGAATGAAATGTTTTTTTCTCTGATTGGTTCTGGGTTCCCCTAACTGCTCCGGTTCTGTTACTTTTCCACAGCTGAGCAGCATGCCTCCTGATGCCCGCAGTGACTTCAGCTTCTCCAGACGGGGCCAGCTCATTATGAGCGCCGTCGATCCGTCCAGTTGCTCCACTCCACCCCTTTCAGCCTCCTCCTCCACTCTGACCAATGGGTCGGCGCAACACGTCTCTCAGGCTCCGCCCACAGCTGACTACCTGCAGAGGTGGATCCTGGCTGCAGCAAAGGTAGGTGGAGCCTCTGCACACTCGCTGTCGGGGAAACGGCAAACATCTGAACTGTGGTTTTGTTTGCAGGGCCGTCAAACAGAGCTGATCAGCCTGACCCGGTCCGTTTCAGACGGGCTGGGCTTCAGCGTGGTCGGTCTGAATCCGACAGGAACCGCCAGTCAGGGCGTCTTCGTCAAACACATCCAGCCGGGAGGAATCGCCCACAGGTGAATTAGATTGTTCTGACCCAGAGGCTGAGCTTGGCAGGTTCTGTCAGCTGGAGCCAGCTCAGCGTTTTCTCTGGCTCCTGATTACCCGTTCATAACTCAAAAAGAACCACTGCAACAGAACCATTCTGACCCAAACAGAACCATTCTGACCCAAACAGAACCATTCTGACNAACAGAACCATTCTGACCCAAACAGAACCATTCTGACCCAAACAGAACCATTCTGACTCAAACATACAACCATTCTGATCCAAACAGAACAACTACAACACAACCGTTCTGACCCAAACAGAACCGGACAAACCTGAATTAGACGACCAGACCTATATAACATGTTCTAAACTTTTTCATGATTGGACTGGCGTTCTGACGGACTTCTTTTGCAGGGACGGCCGTCTCCGGGAGCGGGACCAGATCTTGGTGATAAACGGCAGCCCAGTAGAACCGGGGATGAGCCATCAGCAGGCGCTGAGCCTCCTGCAGCAGCCTGGGGAGACGCAGCTGGTGGTGGCCCGGGACTGGTCCCCTGAAGGAGGTCTGATCAACAAGGTAGGCAGCTGATGTTCTGAAGCTGCTCAGGCGGTTGGGGTCCATGGTCTTATTTCTTTCTAATTTCGTTTAGTTTTTACATGGTTTCTGGAAACTGTGATGTTGGTTGTTCTGACCCGCTTCCTGAGAACCAATATCGAGCCCAGATCCATGGGACTCAAACATCTAGAACTCTTCCCAGAAACATTTAGGTTCCGTTTGACTTTTTGGAGCACTGGACGCAGCCTTTAGAGACCAGAATCAGAACAGTTACTACAAATAGGAATTTGTGCAGCGAGACGGGCCTGGGCTCTGGTACTGAGCTTCCACCCACAGTCCAAAATGGTTTAATCGGTTTCTCATGCTTCCCCTGGTTCTGAATGGGTGAGCATCATGGGCAGTTCTAGACAGGGGCCAACGGGGGCCAGTGCCCCTGTAGATCACGTCCTGGCCCCTGTACGGAAGATATAATAATAAAAGAAGTTCTAATGATGATATGCGCTCTCATTTTTTTCTTTAAAAAATTCTGTTTTAATAATTATTTAAAGACAGTTAGGTGATAGCTTCAGTGGTAAAGGGATAGTGTCCCAGTTTTCAAGAGGGACAATCAGGAACTAGCTGTGGGTCTAGATACAGCCGAGGCTGTTGGAAAGTGGGGGCAAATTTGTGCGAAAACGGAGGGACATGAGGGCGAAAAAGAGCCGGGATCCAGGTGGAAAAAGGGTTCCAGCGTTCTCGTGCACCTCGCTCTACTAGCCGGTCCATCTTCACAAGTCGTTTTCCACAATGGCGGTCATACAAACAAAACAAACCGGAAGGTACCAAACAGGAAATACAGTACAGCGGATAGTGTACAGCGGATGTAGATATGACCAATCAAAGGCCTCCTGTCTGCAGCACTGTCTGCAGTCACCTACAATTTTGAAGAGGTCTGCGGAAGGGGCGGGAGCACATTCGCGTTCACTGCGACACACATGCGGACGACCTGGTTTCTGAGCATAAACCAGCCTGCTTAGCTATCTTCCATGTTTACTTGTCCCGACCACAGCCCCGCCCCCTCAGGGTCTGCTGACTCTCACTTTTCAGTTTTCAGCATTTTTTTTTTTCAGGGTCAGGCTGAATCTTGTTGCTTACAGTCAAGGTTGAAGTCCCCAAAGATTTTACTAAAGTAAGAGCAGCGCTGTTTTCACATTTCTCTACCCAAGTAAGGGTAGAAAGAAATCATCAAAGAAATAACATGATAAAATAAAAAATTATTTAGTAAACTGGCTCCTCAAGTACTTAGTAACTGTTGGTTCATAACATCAGATTTAAGATGTGAAGAAAGGATAAACAACTTCTAGCTAAAATATCTACTGCTAATTTAAATTTCACCTGATCTCAAGGTGGAAAGAGGAACCACAAAGAATATTACTTTAAGAAAATCAGAAAAATGTTGGAAAGTACATTCTTACCACCCACCTTAGGGTGAGTTGTACTTTTAATCTGAGAAGCAGCTGAAATTCAGGATGAGATAAATGTTTGATCCTTACATTTTTTCAAGAAGCTCAGAGTTATTTTCCTGGTTAATGTCCATTGGAGAAGAAGAAAAAAAAGGTGGAATGTTTTATGCATCATAAGAAAATGTGAAAAAAGATATTAAAGAAGGATTGCTGGGTTTGTTAAAATAATTTATTTTCTGGTTTTGATTCAGAGGTGATAAAGTCAGCAGTTTGTTTCCTGCTGGAACAGATTTTTTTTCCAGTCCTAGATTTTAATCTCCATGTTTTCCTGCTTTTACTCCTCAGTTCCACCTTAACATTAAAAACCAGTGAGAAGCCTTTCCTCTGTGGTCCTGAGGCTCCATCAGAGGCCTCAGCCAGAGGACATGGCTGCTCTGCACATGAACCAGACCTAGGTCCCTTCCTTTATGGTTCTGGATTTAATTGTTTCAGTCCTGACCCGAAAGCAGCAGAAGCTTAGACCGTTTGCTGAAATCAGCTTCATTCAGACTGGAGGTCACTTTGAGAGCGTCTGCATCTCATCAGAGAGAGACCTCCTGTTTGTGAGGAGCTGTGAGGCTGCTGACTTTGACTCGAATCATTTTTTATGACCTCAGAGGAAATGAAGTTAGCGCTGCACCAAAGGCGGCACTCCTGACACTCTGTGTTTGGATCCAAGAGGGAGAGCGATCGATGAATGTTGACATGACTGACGAGTCAAGCCTTGGCAGACAGGAGAACCAGACTGCGACGGGTCACTAGTTCTCATCTAGTTCTTCATTCGCTCCAGAAGCATCAGCAGATTCATTCAGATTTAAAGTCCTGATCCAGACACCAGGACCAGTTCTGGACTTTGATCAGTTCTCCAATGTCCTGAAAGGGTTAATCTGTTAGAACCTGCAGGCTCATATTTTAGCTTCCTGTCCAGAACATCCCAGCTGCTGTCCTCTGATCCATAAATGAAGTGAAGCTCCTTCCAGAGTCTGTTCCTAACCAGTTCTCCATGTGTTCTGATGGTTCTGCTCCTGGTCGTTGCTTCTCGGCATGGAGTGTCTGTCCATCAGGTTAAAGAGGGAAAATAAAAAACGCAAGCAGGTCATGTTACTGGGTCAAACTTGGTTCTTTTGGTGTCAGACATGTTTAAATGCGATGGATGCTCCCCCTGTGGTCACCTGAGCGGGCAACCTGTTGGTATAGTTGGACTAAGTATAAACGCTGCGTCATCAGTGTATCCAGATGTCAACTGGAGGAGAACCTGAGAGCTGAAGTTTCTAATGAACTGAGGAGGAGTTTCCCTCCAACTTTCTGCTCAGGTCCATTTATTTTAAGGCGTCTTCAGGGTTCTGTTCCCTCTGCTTTTAGAAGGCCTATAAATACATCCAGAACCAGGCCCATCCCAGTCCCTGCTGGGATAATATCCACTAAATAGACAGAAGCTGTAAAATCATCAGAGAGTCGCAGATTAATGGCTTTCTTTATGGGAGGCTTTTTTACAGCTGTTGGCTTCAGACGGTGGGAGCAGAATAAAAGCGGTCCGGCTGCGGCGGCCTGGCGGGTCGGACACACCTGAAGCTGCTGTGCTGGAGAGCGGCTGTAAACCTCCGGGACGGAGTCGTGTTTCTTGTCACGGCTCCATTAAGCGTGACCTCAATCCGAACGGGACATGAATAAAACGACAGCGGGAGGGTCGAGGGCCCGGAATGCAGAATGTGGCCCGGGTCCAACAGGCCCACAGGAGGAGGAGGAAACCAAACAAAAGGGACAGTGTAGTTCTGTGTGATAATGACGCAAATCATTACGGCTGAATTAAACCTGGGATCACCGGCTGCCATTAATAATCCATTTCTGCTCCCCTTAGATCCTGGTTTAAATGTCCATGTTCTATTTCCTGTCTTCTACTGGACTCTGTCCAGCAGCTCAGTTCCTTATGAAGTTATCAGTACTGGGTTCTGTTTGCTGAGGAGAACACCTCCTCCCTCCAGAACCAAGATGGCAGCAGGACTCATGTTAGCAAATCTGCATCTGCTGAAGGACAGGACTTCAGGGACGATGTCCTCTGGACAGAGGAGACATGTTTGACCTGCTGCGCTCCATATCTGGAGAAACCCAAACGCAAGATCAGGACAAACTCCTCATGACGACTGTCTGCATGGTGGTGGAGGTGTGATGGTTCCGTTCAACCATCCTGGAAGAAAGAGGATTCTATATGGAAGAAGGTGTTTGTCAGCAAACATCTGCTCCTTAAAAGACTCCTGACCTGGATGGCTCCTGATGGCCCGATGGCCCCGTTCTGTCGTTTTAGTGCTGTCTTGGGTAATAGATCCTTCCCTGGGAAACCTGTGAACTTCGGTTGGGAAGCAGAGCGTCCAGCTCCTCCCTGGGTTCAGGTTCATCAGACTGCAAGCTTCTGGAACCGACTGAAGGGGAGGTTTGTTTCTGTCCACAGGCAGAGCTGCTGTTCGGGTCAGGTTGGGAATAAGAAACCATGGGGGAAGGGGGAGGGGCGTACCTGCAGCTGAGAGGATGTTATCTTTGTGTTTTACTGGTGAAGTGACAACTTATTCCTGGCTGTTTTGGGGTTCATTTTAGTACTTTGTTTCTTACCAGTAAAGTGAGGACTCTCATGTAAAATGTTGAGTCTTGTGTAAAGAGAGGATATTTCCCCGGTACTGTGTGTGTGTGTGTGGCAGCAGGGTTAAAGCAGCTGTAATTACCTGCTGAGCTCTAAACAGCCTTTCACCTGGAAACCGATGACCAGCCGCCGCTCAGGTACGGCCAGCCAGCCTGCTGACCAATCAGCTCAGAGAAACACAGTCATGTGTCCCAGTTAGAAACAGCAGGGCCATTATTTACTGTTTGCATCTATTCCAGTCTGTCATGGCTGTTTGTTTATAGAAATGCAGCTCCTAGAGCCACTATGTCCGTCACTCAGTGGCTCTTCAGTTTCAGCCGTTCCTCTCATCTCTCATCCAAAAGCTGTTTATTCTCATCTCAAATGAGCTTAAATCCCGTCTATATTCATTGCTGCTTGAACTTCTCTTTAACTATTTTCTTTTCTTTTTTTTTCTGTCTCCATGCTCCTATAATGGGCTGCAGGACAAGAGCAAAACTCCTCTGACAGTAAAAACCGTTACATTAGTTCCCTACATTTTTGATTTCCTCTTTTCATACTTTTTCTGTACATTTTCTCCATCTACGTTGATGATGTGATGATCAGATCCAATTGGATGAACCTCAATTCTCTCCACTCTTCCTTTTTTTCCCATAATAGCTACATCCTCTTCCTGATTTAAGCCTCTAGGCTACCAGTAATAGAAGCTAAAAGGCTTCACTGTAGAAAAATAATGGATGAATGGTTAATTTAGTTTCTTTAATCCAGGAATTTTTCACAGTAGAAATTATGAAATGATTGAAAAAGTCTCCATCTGTGAATGCAGTTAAATCATTGAGTGCTTTGTATGACAAACACAAGGGTTTTTCAAATGTTTCTAAGTTGAAAAACAACTTTATTAGAGAATGTCTCTAATTGGAAAAAAACATTTTTTTAGAGGTAAAATAGTTATGTTAATGTCGTGATTATTATGAGACTTAGTGAAAAGCTGGGGGTGAAATGGTGTACATTCCTTCTCAGGCGGTTAGTTTGTGGTAACACTTTTGTAAGTAATTGTAATTGTAAAATAATACATGGAAAAATTATCAAATAACTTCAGTGCATGGTGTCAACACAGATTGACACGCTTTTGTGTCCAATTCACATATAAATGCAATTATCCTAAAATGAGGCATCTAACCAAAGAAGGCCTTTAAGAAGTCCTGTTTCAATTTTTATGTTGATCGCTGCTTTTCTGGTTCAGCACTGGACTGGTTTAAAGACTGCTTGAAGGACGGGCGCTATTTAGTTAAATCTGCATCAGAGACTTAAAGAAAATCACATGTGGTGTTCCCCAAGGCTCCACCTTAAGGCCTCCTCCTATTCAATATCTACATGCTCCTAACTCAGGTTATAACAACACATGTTGCTATAATTATGCAGACTGCAGTCAGCTTTATATTACGATGTCACCACTTTACTTTGTTTAACCAATCCAAGACTGATTAAATGCTTAGAAGACATCAGTGCATAGAAGGGACAAAATTGTATTCAGCCTAATCAAAACAAAACTGAAGTAAAGTATTTTTAGTCCAGAGTCAAACTTGGCACCAAGCTTCAGTTAATCTAGCTAGAGTCCAGCAATCAGATTACTGGGTGTAGTGATGGATTCAAACCTGAATCTTCAGAGGCTCAGAAGACAGGAACAAAGTCAGCCTTCTATCACCTCAAGAACATCTCCAGGATTAAAGGACTTATGTCTCAGCAGGATCTTGGAAACTAGTTCTGGTTGCAGATGCTTGTGAAAGCTTGTATTTTTTTGGCGAAATCTTGAATCAAATGAAGTTATGTAATGATAAGTTTTCAGACCAGATGTACTAAGGTAAATGTTGGATATCTTCCCACTATTTGGTATTTTCTTTCCTAATATTCACCCAGCAGATATTAGGGTATGTATAGATGGTTATAATGTCATAATAGTGTTGCTAAAAACCAGATTTAACATCTGAAACAGGAAAACCTCAGTCATCTCTGCTGCTGTCTGTTCTTCTACCGCAGGGTCAGTGGGGTCATGTCGAGGAGATCCAGCTTTTCAACGATGGATCCGGTCTGGGTTTTGGTATTGTCGGTGGAAAAACAACTGGAGTGGTGGTCCGAACGCTGATCCCGAACAGCGTAGCAGACAGAGTGAGTAATAGTTGGCTATTTTAATTTCTTTCTCTAACTCTGTATTTGAAAAATGTAACAACATTTTGAAACATGAAGTAGGTTTGTTTCTGCCGGTGCATTGATTGGCTTAACCCCCTTTGTCCAATCAGGACGGCCGTCTCCGAACAGGTGACCACATCCTGCGCATCGGATCGACCCCCACCAGCGGCCTCACCAGTGACCAAGTCGTCAAGGTGCTGCAGGCTTGTGGCAGTCATGTGACCATGCTGATTGCCAGGGACCCCCAAGGACAAAAAGCTGCTGCCTCGGCTGCACCTCCACCTCCTGATTCTGCCCCAATTGCTAATTTACCTCCACCACTTCCTGACTCCTCCCCCATTACCTCTCTAGCCCCACCACTGCCGGAGTCGGCCCCCATAACCTCTTTATCTCCCTCGTCTCCTCTAGCCCCACCTCAGCGTCAGCAGAGTAAAACGGTTAGCGCTTAGTTTGCCTTTTTAAATCATGGTTCTGTTTGACTGGCTTTACTCAGAGTTCTGTTTGGTTTTTAATTCTAGCCAAACTTGGAGGGATATGAGATCCACCAGGTTTCTCTTACCAAGAAGGAGGGCCAGAGCCTTGGCATCTCCATCATTGGCTTCAACCCCATGACGAGCCAAGGTAGGAATGTAGCATGACACATTGGCTGCACTTTAGGAAAGGATTCTCACTTTCTGGTGGATATCTAAACTTACCTTAACGAGAAAACACCATGATGAATTTAAATGTGATAATCAGAGCAGATATGGGATTAAATAAGCGGAGATAATTAAATACCAAAGATACCAGGTCAGACCTTCCTCTGCTGTTCCCCTTAAGGTGGGTAGACATTCCTCCCATCATAGCCTCTATTGTGACCAGATGTTCCTCTGTCCTAGCTCTTTTTTTAGATGGTTAGTTTTTTTACTACTCCTAAGATTTCCAATAGAGAGACTGTTTTGGCTAGCCTGAGCTTTACCGTTCTGAGTTTAAGGAACCGGACACTGTCATAGTCCAGAGACCAACAGATTGATCAATTTAATGAATTTTTGCCAAAGCTGCCAATGTTTACCAAGATAAAACTTGTGAAAGATGTTTAAGTAAACTATTTAAGTTTTTCTGAAGTAAGTGATGTCTTTTTATGCTGTATGTGTGTTTCTGGTCTCAGATGCGGTGGGTGTGTTTGTAAAGCATGTGGTTCCTGGCAGCGCTGCGGATCAGAGCGGAAACATCCGGGTTCATGACAGACTGCTCGCTGTGAGTCCCTGATCGTTTGTTCTGTTTATCCACACCTTTTTATTCTCCCTATTGTCTAGTTTTTACCCTTTTTCTTAGAAACTTCATGAAGCATGGAGGACACTGCTGCTCCAGCCTAGTTTGGGATTTCTGTTGAAGTTTATAGATAAAATGGCTCATAAATATGATTTGGTTTGCTGGGATGATTTGTTGAAGGTGTTATATGTTTGTTTAAGTGGAGCAGAACCTCTGGATGTGGATATTCTTTAGTGTTTTATCTGTTTTCACTCCTTTGCATCTTGTCTTCTCCGACCAGCTGGATGACATCAGTCTCCACGGTATGACCAATCAGGAGGTTCTGGAGGTGATGAAGCAGACGGGTCAGACTGTGGTTCTGACTCTGGTCCGGAAGAAAGCCAAAGGCCTGGAGAGATCCCTGGATAAAGGTAGGGAGATGAACAGAAGGTAGATTAATGCCAGCAGACAGGAAGTCCTAACCACAGAATAAAACAAGCATGGGATTAACAGCTGAGCAGGATTTGGTTCTGAAACAGGAGAACAGTCTTTAAATGTTCATGCTCAGGTTTAATTAAAATGTTGCTTCTATGCTTCATCTGATGTCTTTCGTTTTAGACATCCTTTCAGCTTAGATGGAACATCTAGAGGTAATCCAAGCAAGCAGGAGGTTCTAATGGGACAATGCTGATCTTTGAGGGCTGCAGATTCGAATATTCTCTATTCCTTTGCAGTAGAAGTGACTGGTTCTGATGGTTCTATTTGGATGGGTCTGAATCCACCTCCATATCAGCTACCTATGTTTGATTTATACTGAAATCCAAAGAAAGAAAAGGAAGAAGATGGTCCAGCTGGGAGCTCTGGGTTGTGATGCATTTAAAGAATAGAGAAAAATCCGACTTTTCACTGTCTGACCTTCAGATTGGGGATTGGGGGAAGAACAACCCAAGCTCTTCCAGTGATTAATGCAGTGAGCTGTAAAATGCTGATTACGGTTACCATGGTGACAGGTAGGGATGCAGAAAGCAGCCATGACATCTTTATCAGAAAACTGACGCAGTCATCTTTACTCACTCGGTTTGTTCAGAGAAGCGATCAGCTAGTCTGGTCCCATCAGGTTCTGGCCTGAATGCCGAGTTGATTTACAAAGATCTGATCCTGTTTTCATCAGTGGCCAAGAGGATCATTAGGATAAAAACTGCTTCTCTGTTAAGTTCGGTCCCCCTCCCTCTCAGACGGTTCCTCCTGGATGGGTAGAACTTATCGGAGCGGTTCTTCCTCACAGACGGATTAAGATGACAAATTTGTTTACAGCCGGGTGTAATTTTCCCAAACTTTGCAGACCGTTCTTCTTCTTTCTGCTCCTGCAGTGTCTGCAGAGATTAATTTGTTGGGTCCAGGGTCATTTTTTACCCGCACGGCGCTGGGCCGGCTGCCCGCTCCGATCCGCCTCTGGGCCACAGAAAAACAAGTTAAGGAGGAGAGGGAAGAGCGCCGCGCTCAGCTCTTATCTCCACCACACGTCCTTTTGTTTCATTACGGAGGAAACCCAGCCTGGAAATTGTTTTGAACTTCCTCAGCTTCTGTTATCTGCATGAAAACAAGCTGCTTCTGGATTCATGGCCACTGCTGATCAGTCAGTCAGGAGGTCAAAAGGTCCGAGTGGGAGCGGTTCAGGTGTGCTCACTCACCCCGGTCCAGGCAGAAGCTCAGAAAGCCATTAAACCTGACACCAGCCGGTTCTGGATGTTATTTCTATGTGTGACCCAAAGCTTTTGTAGTGACCTTCCTTCATATCATTTAATTTATGGAATGTCATCTTTTTTCTTATCTGTGTAAGTCATATATATATATTTTTTTATAATTTTTTCCGTTTTTTCTTATGTATAATTTAAACTGAATTATCCAGATTTTTGGACCTGTTCGGTTGTGCAGTTTATCAATGAAGTCTGAAAATCTCATGTTTGGAACTGAGCTTGGTTCTGTTCATGGACTTTCTGGCCTTAAACGGGTCTCTGAACACGTCCAGAACCTCTACCTGCAGACATGGTTTCCATCTGTTCTGGGGATTTTTTCCTGTCCAGAACAACAATCCCTGAGTTCTGCAGACTTAACATTTTATTCTCGACCCAAAGATGTAGAAACCTCCACTAATCTTAATCTGCTGGAACAGAAACCAGGCAGTTCTGTGAGGACGGTCCACAGTGACCCAGGGAGGCTGTAGGTCACAACTGATCCGCATCAGGCTGCAGACTGTGGTTCTGATTTGTGATGTCTTTCTGGTTTCTGTTGGAAACCTTTTCAGTTAGAAATGTTCTCCCTGCCTCCTTCAGATCTACGTCTGGACCTTCATCAGCTGGAGGGAAAACGTACAGAAAGTTCTGAAAATGTTCTATTAACTGTTTTCAGGTTATCCAGAAGTTGTTCCTCACAGGTTTCCCTCCTCTCTGTGTTTCAGTGGAGCGGGCGTCAGTCCGCGGGTCTCGGAGGAATCTGGAGATGAAGGCTCCACCCTCGATGTCCGGCTCCATGTTGATGAAACCGGATCCAACGCATCTGAACTCGGCACCACTAAATGGAGGTTAGAACCTTTGGTTTATGGTTCTGCGCTGAACTGCTGACCTCATCTCTCTCACTGAGATGTTCCTATAATCTTTCCATCTGGACCTTCATGTTGTTTGTTCACAGCAGTTTGTATCAGAGACAAACTGGGTTCTGCAGTTAATATCATGTTTTGGTCCAATTCATTTGAACATCATTTGGACGGTCAGTGTTGCTCCCCTCCTTTGAACTGGGAAGCTCTATGCAGTGTATTTTTGAGAACGATCTTAGATTTAGTCTTAGTTTTGGACTTGAGGATTAAAACTATTGTTACTTTTAGTCACATTCCAGTCATTACTATACTTGATTTATAGAATTCAAATAAACTTTTTTAATAATTGATGCCCTACTTTATACATAAATGTCTCACAAAAGTTGTGAAAAGTTGTGAAAATAGCAGATCTAGTTCAACACATCATATTGGTTAAAATAGCAGACAGACAAGCTAACAAAATGTACAATAAAGGAATGGTTTTAGACATAAAATGTTTTCATCCAAAAGCAAACCCTTCCTGATCTACTATGAATTATGCATTACACACAGATCAATAAAATCTTCATTACTCCTAAAAAAGCAAAGAACAAAAACATTCTTTGGAAATTTTAGCTTTGTTTCTTCAATTTACCGTTTGGTTACCGCCTCTCAGGGGTCAAAATAGATTTAAATTCATAGGGGTTTGATATAAAAAAAAAATAATACAAAGAGACCCTATATAATTGCCTTATAATGCCATGGCAATCTGGACCTATATTTCATTATCTTAACTAAAATGTTGAAATCTTCAAATAGATAGAAACAAGAACATTGAGAGAGACATTTTCAAAGATCTATGTACATTTTCATCTTGGGCTTTATCCAAAAATAAACAGAATGCAATAAAATATTTGCTTTGGATATAATTTAGGGATTCCTTTTGGTAGAAATAAAAGACGGTTTTGCGTTGCCTCTTGTGAGCTGGAAGAAATCAAATCTTGATAGTTAGACAAAAGGTTTTTCTACGCTTGGCAGAGGATGATCAGCCCCATACAGTTTATTAAGTAGCAGGAAGAGCCGTACTGCTGAGAGCAAACCATCAGTGTGAAGTAAAAAGCACAGACTCTAAGCTAAGCTGCGCGAAGACGCATTTCTGCAGTACAGCTATAAAAGCAGAGTTTAGAAAAGCAGAGTTAAGTCGCAGTTTTGGACATTTCCAGCTAATTTTCACTTCCTGCTGCCACGATCCATCTGTGGTGATACAGAATTTTCACCGCTGCACGGCAGGTGGGCGGCTTGACCAAACAGGACGCAGCATCACGGCTGATACTGCTTAGCAAATTACAGCATAATGATGCAATGTCTGACAGAACACCCACCAACATTTTTACTTCTTCTCGTTGCGTCAACTAAAACTCACACCCATGTCTTGTCATGGTTCTTGTCATCGAAGATCCATGTTTAGCTTTTCAGTTGTCGTTAAGGAAAACCAGCTGATTGCATCGAATCATTGATTTGCAGGATTGGCTCCACCTGGATGAGCTTGTGGTGACAGAATATGTTTTCTTAGATTTCATCATTTACTTTACAGCAATCCCTCCCACCAAGCATGCTTGTGGCAACAGTGGAGAGAAAACTACCTTTTAACAGGAAGAAACCTCCGGCAGTACCAGGCTCAATGTGAGGGGCCAAGGAGACTTGGGATCAAGAAGACCAAAGCAGACATACAGAAAGAAGCACAGATATAAAAGGAACATAGAAGCACTTATTCATAGATACTTTTTATGTTAAAGGTAACGTTAAACTAGCTGCTCAGGTGGCTTTGTGAAAGAAACAGTTAAGCGGACGAGCTCTGAGCCACCTTTCATGTCAAGGAATGAAAGTGAGCACATCTGGTTAGTTACAGTCCCCAGGATATCTCTCTGATGGACATTGATCAGAAAGAGGACACAGATTCAGCGTTTTTTATAAAAATCCCAATATATTGAAAATATTGCTTTGTAGTTTTTTTGTTGCCATCTCTGTTATTTTTATAGCACCCAAATTAATTTTCAGTCACTTTTCAGTTTAAAAGGGGAATGCTTAGCTTAGCGCAGTGGTTAGCGCACACAACCCATGTACGGAGGCCTTACTCCTCGACGCAGGCGACCCGGGTTCGAATTCTGCATGTCTCTACCCCTCTCATACCCCCTTTCCTGTCAGCCTACTGTCCGGAAAACGAGCAACTAGTGCCATAAAAACTCCAAAAAAAAAAAGGTTTGGGTCAGCACTGGAGAGGAGGTTTATGTCTCTGAATCTCATCTTTAACACCTTCTTGGTTACTCTCAGGGGTTCCTCCGCTCTGCAGATCAGTCTGAGAGAATTTGATGTAAACAAGTTAAACATATCGGTTCCCTTTAAACAGAACATTCCTAAACGTGGAGCTTTTTGATCAGAACAAGGCGGCGCTGAGGCCTGGGAGCTTTTATGGAGCAGCAGGTAAAGACTGGGGCTCCTGGGATTGGCTCCACTGGTTCTGTTCCTCTTTAGTCTGATGTTCAGCCGTCAGAAAGCGTCCGAGCCGTCTGCAGCCTCCCTGGGATGTATTGCTAGGCTAATTCAGCCAAACGCTGCAGATTAATTTACTGTGAGGAAGCCGGGGTTAGCAATGCTAATTTAATCAGCCTGTTGTAGCGGCGCTGACAAACACCTGAACGCCAGGAGACGGATCAGCGCAGGTTCCTCCCAGCCTGGAGTCAGAGTCAGAGAAATCAGAACCGACCGCCTGCTTTCATGTTCACACAGAGACTGTCGCTCTGCGGCTGAGCGGTCATCAGTTCAGAGAACCGCCTCATTTATTAAACAAACTGGGCCAAACAGGTTTTGCTTACTGCTCAGATTTGCAGCAGCTGCTTGGAATTCTAAAGAGCCGATCCGGAGGTCCGTCCGTCTGTCCGTCACTGCAGCAGGCCGCAGGAACTTTACAAACCGGTCCAACTCAGACCCAGTTCAGTCCAGATGAGTCTGGTTCATTCTAACATTTATTCAGACCAAATTAGCTCCGCTCCAATAAAGTCCTGATTACAGGCAGAAACATTCACCATCACTGCTGGTCCGGTTCTATTCTGCCCAGAACACAAAGCTCTGAATTTATGTTTTTAATCAGAGAGCCTGCAGACCTGAGTGGATCATCGAGAGGTCAACCCTACGGGTCTCGTCTCTGCAGGTTCTGATCTCGTGTTGTCCGATTTGTTTACTACTTTCTAATTGAACCTCGTTCAGTCCAGAAAGTTCAGACAGATTATCCTTTAAACCAGAACCAGTTCTAACCGACAAGAACTGACAGAACCTCCAGCACACAGACATGATCTTATTAATGTCTGACCTTTAGAGAATAAAGGGTCCATTCTGTCAGAGCAGAGGAGGACCCGACCCAAAGCAGCAGCAGAAACTCTGTCGTAGATGCAGGCGCTTGTAGTTGGACCTTCTGTCAGTACTTCAGCAGGACCTTTCTGGATCCAGTCCGGTTTATAGATACCTGTGTGTGTTTCTGTGTCCAGCCTCTGATGCAGAGCTCCGGGCTAAATGGGAGGCCGCTCTCGGACCTCAGTACCAGGTCTTGGTGAGTCACAAACACGTGAATTCAGATGGTTCTGCTTCTTTGGATGACCTGACCTCAGCCTGTCTGGTTCCAGGTGGTGAACTTGGATCCTGTCATAGAGGACGATGAAGAGCTGCAGAAATCTTCCAAGGTGAAGATCCGAGTCCCAGATGGATCCCGGCTCCGGTTCTGCTCCTGACTAAACTCTCCATGTTTTCTCCAGCTGCTGCCGATCCACATCCTGCGTCTGGGTGTCGAGTTGGACTCATTTGACGGTCATCACTACATCTCATCAGTGGCCCCTGGGGGCCCGGTGGACAAACACGGCGTTTTAAGGCCTGAAGATGAGCTGCTGGAGGTAACTGTCTTCCCACGGGATCTGCGGGTTTTTACACAGAGAACTGGTTCAGAAACAAACCCGATGAATGATTTCCTCTGACTGCTGAATCTAAGAGTTAGCTTTGTGGCTAATCTCTGAACTGCTCTACATCACATCCAGTCTGGACAGGTTTTAAGCTCACACTCCTACTGGGCTTTGTATTGGCGTTCTGGATTGGGAACGCTTTAGTTTTTAGATTGTTTTACATACTCCTGCACAGCAATGCTGTGTTTTATAGGAAAAAAATACTCTGACCATCGGCCGGTTGTGCTTCACAGACCATCCGCCACTAAAGAGCTGGTTATACTCCCTCAGCAGTGTGTCGCAGTGAGCTTGTCGCAGGTATGACGCAGATATTTTTGATTTATGCCCAGTTTGAAAGTGTGGTCTGCGCTGTTTTTCCACACCACAGCGCAAGAGGGGCAATCACAAACTAGCCGTGGGTCTAGATACGGCAGCGGCGGTGGGGAAGTTGGGGCAAGTTTGTACAAAAACAGAGGGACATGAGGGAGAAAAAGGTGCAGGGATCCAAGTGGAAATGAGGTCCCAGCATTCTTGCGCACCATCTTCACGAGTCAATTTCCGGTCATACAAACCAAACAAGCCGGTAAGGTACCAAACAGGAAATACGCATAGTGTAGAGCGGATGTAGATTTGACCAATCAGAGGCCTCCTGTCTGCAGTCACCTACAACTTTGGAGAGGTGCAGCAGAGTGTCTGCGGAAGGGGTGGGGGCATATCTGCGTTAACTGCGACACACACGCAGATGACCTGGTTTCTGAGTATAAACCAGCCTTAAGAGTGACTCTAAGGGCATGACAGAAACACACAGTGCTGCTGTTTAAATGGCCAATAATTACATTAAAAAGCACTGCTTTAATATTAATTTAGGATATAAGCATTCCATAAATTTGATTCATGCATCTCACGTCACTTTATAATTTTATTGTTTATCAAATAGAAATATTGCACCTTCTTTATGTATTGGATTTATGGCACCTTTGGCTTTCCATACCTGCTGCAGTTCAATTGTTCCTGTTTACAAACATCCGCCTGTGTGAAAAGCTTTGGTCAGATGAGTTTCCACAGCGGGATTCTCTCTTTACCGCTGACCACCAGGCTGATGCTGGAGGACAGCGGAAGATGCACCTGGTGGTAGCCTCAGTCTAGAGCCTGCTGGAAAAGCTGCCTTAAAATTACAGGCTGCAAACATTTCAGTCGCTGAATCCAAGCATAGAATTGCAACAGACTGGAGACCCCCTGAAAATACTTAATCACTCAATTAACACAATCTATTTATTTACACTGTTAAATCAAGTTATTCTATCTATTTTTATGTACATCTTTTACATTTATATTTTTAAAAGATATGAAAGACCTACAATCATGCAATTTTTTTTATCAGACGCATAATTATTTAATTGTGGGTTTTAGAATTTAATGGTCTATTCCAGGGTTTCCGAAACTGTTGGTCGGGACCCCTGGAGGGTCGTCAGACACAAAGTGGTGGGGTTTCATATTCCTCCGGATGTAGTCCCTGAGGTAAATGGAGGAAG